GCCGTTTGCGGTTCAGTGTGCGGCGCATCAACTCAACCTTCAGCCCCGGGTCTCCTTGCCAGAGACCTTCCCTGCCTTACGGTGGACTGGGAAGGTTGGCGATGTGTCTGCGTTTCGGGTCTGGGGATCTCGGGCGTTTGTCCGCGACTTGTTTGTGGACAAGCTGTCCCCCCGTGCTGTTCCTTGCATCTTCCTTGGCTTCCCCCCTGACGCGCCTGGGTGGCAGTTTTACCACCCCACCTCGCGCCGTGTTCTGTCCTCCCAGAACGTCACCTTTGACGAGTCGGTGCTTTACTACCGTCTCTTCCCCTACTGCACTGTGCCCCCCCCCCCCCTGCCGCCGCTATTCTTTGCGCTAGGTCCTCCCCAGGTTGACCCCCTTCCCCCTCAGGGTCGTGCCCCGTCAGGTGTGTCCCAGGTAGATCCAATCGAGCCTGTCGAGGGTGCTGTTGACTCTAGTACTGCTAGAGGTGCTGAGCCTGCGGGTGCCGGGTCTGGGGGTGCTGAGTCTGGGGGTGCTGAGACTGGGGGTGCTGAGCCTGGGTATGCTGAGTCTGGGGGTGCTGAGCCTAGGGGTGCTGAGCCTGGGGGTGCGGAGCCAAGGGGTGCGGAGCCTGGGGTGCTGGGTTTGCTCGTGTGGCCGCTGGCAGTACTTCGTCGAGGCGGGAGCCGCTCTCTCCACAGGAGCTGCGCGAGTGGTTCGCCCGCCACTGGAGACGTGCTGCTGAGTCCGGGGGTTCTACTAGAGCTAGTGGAGTTGGTCCTACTAGAGCTGCTGTCGGTGCTACTGCTGCTAGAGATGGAGCAGCTGGGGGTGTTGGCACTAGTGTTTCTACTGGTGCTGGTGCGTCTAGGGTGCTGTTGAGGCTGCTAGTGCTGACGGTCCTACTGGAGTTGGTGCTGCTAGAGCTGGAGCTGCTGGGGGTGTTGGCGCTGGCGGTGCTGCTGGCGCTGGTGCTTTTGCGGGTGCTGGAGTTGGCGCTGTTGGAGCTGGAGGTGCTGCTGGCGCTGGTGCTGCCGCTCGGGGTATTGGTGCCGTCCTTGCTGGTTCTAGAGGCACTGCGCGGCAGAGACCGTACTTCGTTCCGCTCCTGGAGCAGGTTCTTGGTCTCCCGCCCTCTCCTGGTCCTGCTCCTCCCTTAGAGTGTCCACAACCTAACCCGTCGCAGTCACAGTTACAGCCCGCCTCCCCGCTACCTGCTCCTTCTCCCTACACTGATCCTACTGGAGGTCTTGTTGAGCGTTGTGAGCCTGCGTCTCCTCCTGCGTCGCCTATTTATGCTGCTCGCACGAGTCGTCGTGCTGCGCGTCCGCGTCCTCCAGCGGTCCCCGGCACACACCGTATGGCACTGCGTCCTTCCACTGCTCAGCGGCGTGTCCCGTTGCCGTCTCCTCCAAAGTCCTCTCTTCCTACTCTTGCTGACCCGGAGTCTGACTCCCTTCGTGCTCCTAGTCTTTTGGTCACGCGCCTTCTTGCTACTTTTGTCACTGACCCTTCCTTTGAGTCCACTGCTGCGTCTGCCCTAGTTGCTGAGCTTGTCGACTTTGCTGCTCGCTGTCCTCTAGACTACGCTGCTAGTCTCGTTGCTGAGTCTGAGTCTGTCCTCCATCCGTCAAGGGTGAGTGTGCTCTTAGCACGGACGTCCTTGAGGACAGGCAGGAGGAGTTCCAGTGCTTTGCGGCTGCTTTGCCCCATCTCGTGTCCACGCTGATTGCCCTTGAGGGAGACACGGATGCACCAGACATAATGACTCCTCGATCGTACGCTGAGGCGATCGAGATTCCCTACTCTTCAAAATGGCAGTCGGCCATGGACGCAGAGATGGCTTCCTGGAAGTCCACAGGCACCTATGTGGACGAGGTTCCCACACCTGGGGCGAACATCGTCACTAGAATGTGGATTTGAAGGGTGAAGAGGCCGCCAGGTTCTTCGCATGTCTTCAAGGCGCGTTACATGGCTCGAGGCTTCAAAGAGCGGCTAGGAGTTGACTACTTTCAGACCTTCTCTCCCACCCCGAAGATGACCGCTCTTTGGGTGCTTCTGCACATAGCCGCTCAGCGCGTCTATGAGCTTCAATCTCTTGACTTCAGCACTGCTTTCATTTAGGGCAGCCTGCACGAGGAGATCTGGCTGTGCCGCCCTCCTGGCTTCACTGGGTCATTTCCTTCTGGTACCCAGTGGAGCCTCCGGCGGCCAGTCTACCTTCTCCGCCACGCGCCCCGTGAGTGGCACGACACACTGAGGACTACACTTGCGGCTCTTGGGTTTGCTCCTTCTACAGCCGACCCGTCGCTGTTTCTGCGCACCGACACCTCTTTGCCGCCGTTCTACATCCTCGTGTACGTCGACGACTTGGTCTTTGCCACTGCTCACACTTTTGGACTCGCCCACGTGAAGTCTGAGCTGCAGAAGAGACACACGTGCACAGACCTGGGTGAACTGCGCAGCTACCTTGGCTTGCAGATCACCCGGGACAGAGCACGCCGCACCATTACCCTGACTCAGTCACACATGGTGCAGCAGGTCCTTCAGCGCTTCGGCTTCACCTGGTCCTCAGCACTGGCCACTCCTCTGGCTGTAGGTCACTCGCTCTCAGCTCTGCCTTTGGATGAGTCCGTAGAGTCGAGTGGCCCGTACCCAGAGCTTGTTGGCTGCCTCATGTACCTCATGACCTGCACACGACCTGACCTTGCATACCCTCTTAGCATCTTAGCACGCTATGTTGCTCCTGGGAGAGACAGACCATAGCATATGGCTGCAGCGAAGAGGGTGTTGCGCTACGTGTGCAGTACGTCAGGCATGGGGCTAGTGCTTGGAGGGCGACGTCGAGTAGTCCTCAAAGGTCACGCTGACGCTTCTTGGGCTGACGACCAGGCTCTGCAGCGGTCGTCACAGGGTTACACCTTCAACCTTGGCTCCGGCTCTGTTTCGTGGCGGTCTACCCGCTCGTCTTCTGTTCTCAGCTCCAGCTGTGAGGCTGAGATCTACGCAGGGGCCATGGCTGCACAGGAGCTACGCTGGCTCACCTACCTGCTGACTGACCTAGGAGAGGCGCCTCGTTCTCCTCCAGTTCTGTACGTAGACAACAAGGCCATGCTGGCCTTGTGTCGGGAGCATAGACTGGAGCACAGAACAAAGCACATTGCTCTTCGCTACTTCTTGGCTCGTGAGCTGCAGCAGCGTGGTCAGCTCCGCCTCACCTACGTGGCCTCTGAGGCCAACACTGCTGATATCTTCACCAACGTCCTTTCGCCTTGTGATCATCATCGCTTCCGTACTTTGCTAGGTCTTGTGCCTACTTGGCCTCACTTGCTCACTTCTTGATCTTGTGTGTACTGTCCTCTTTCTATACCTGCACTTGCTTGTTTACCTTTATATGTATAACCTAGCATGTGAACTGGCCTTGTGGCCTTACTCTTGTGCTAGGACTGTATGGTGACTTTGTGATCCACCCTGAGCTTGCTTTGCTTTGCTTGACTGGTCTTGTGACCACTTGTTCTCCCCCACTTTGCCTATGGGGGTGTGTTAGAACATTATAGCTTATACATTTGAATAGGCTGTAGTGGGGTAGCCCATATGGGGTACAACCCGATTAGGGTTAGTACTTGTACCCAACTGTTGGGTATGGGCCACTCGACTCTACGGACTCATCCAAAGGCAGAGCTGAGAGCGAGTGGCGAGTAGACAGAGGAGTGGCCTGAGGTGAGGAATACGCGAAGCCGAAGCGCTGAAGGACCTGCTGCACCATGTGTGACTGAGTTAGGGTAATGGTGCGCTGTGTTCTGTCGCGGGTGATCTGCAAGCCAAGGTAGCTGCGCAGTTCACCCAGGTCTGTGCACGTGTGTCTCTTCTACAGCTCGGACTTCACGTTGGCTAGTCCAGCAATGTCAGCAGTGGCAAAGACCAAGTCGTCGATGTACACGAGGATGTAGAACAGCGGCAAAGAGGTGTTAGTGTGTCGTGCCACTCACGGGGCGCGTGGCGGAGAAGGTAGACTGGCCGCCGGAGGCTCCACTGGGTACCAGGAGGAAACGACCCAGTGAAGCCACGTGGGCGGCGCAGCCAGATCTCCGCATACAGGCTGCCCTAAAAGAAAGCCGTACTGAAGTCAAGAGAGTGCAGCTCGTAGTCGCGCTGAGCGGCTATGTACACTAGCATCCGAAGAGTGGTCATCTTCGGGATGGGAGAGAAGGTCTGAAAGTAGTCAACTACCTGCCGCTCACTGAAGCCTCGAGCGACGTAACGCGTCTTGAAGATAGGCGGAGAACCTGACGGCCGCTTCACCCTGAAGATTCACATGCCACGGACAATGTTCGCCCCAGGTGGGGGAACCTCGTCAACGTAGGTGCCTGTGGACTTCCAGGAAGCCATCTTTGCGTCCATGGCCAACTGCCTATGAGAGGAGTAGGGACTCTCGATCGCCTCAGCGTATGATCGAGGAGTCGGGATGTCTGGTGCATCCGGGTCTCCCTTAGCCAGGAAAGTCCGAGCCAAAGCCTTCCCTGAGCTGGAGACGAGTTGGCGGATCCAATTGATCAACACCTCAGTGACGTCACCCTTGCTGCGCAAGGGGGAGATTGTGATGTAACGCGAGTAGTCGTCAACTACGCGCTCTAGCCCCTCGACGTAGGGGACGCAGGTAGGGCCAGGCCCCGGAGGTAGGGGAGGGAGAGACCAAGGGAGACTAGAGACAAGGACATGGGAGGCCATGCCTCGGAGACGAGGCAGGAAGGGGTGACCAAGGCGGTGGTGCCAGAGGAGAGTCTGGTGGGACAGTAGACAACATGAGCAGACTCAGGACCAGACCTGGATGTGCAGCAAACACCTGACTCCACGCAGCTACTTGGCCAGACTCAGTAGCCGGAGGAGACTTTGTAGTAAGGGTGTACAAGCTAAACCCTGGCCGACGGGTGAACGTGGCCAAGTAGTGGCCCGTCCGAGCACACGTGCAGTGGGTCACTCGCTGACTTGCAGGAGTGAACTGGCCAACCCCCCTATCCTATAGATCCGCTCCACTCACCAAGTTCGTAGAGAACGAGGGGTGGTAAAGACCAGACAGGGTGCCAGAGGGGGCTGCCAAGCACGGTAAGACAGTAGAGAAGCTAGCAAGGACAGGACCCCGAGAGGGGTCCGCCAAGGAGACTGCAACCGGCCGACTGAGCGGCGGAGGAGTGGTACAATCTCGAAAGAAGGAGCGTGACGCACCCAAGTCAAGGGTGAAGGTGTGTAAGGCCTGAGCCGATATAGTACCTGAGAGAGCAGACTCACCAGCACCTGGGGCAGCAGACGCACTAGCACCTGGGGCAGTAGACGCACTAGCACCTAGGGCAGCAGCCTCACCAGCACCTAGAGCAGTGGCCTCAATGCCCGGGTCAAGCGGTACATGCAGGTAACAGTCACCCTCAACACTAGTAGACACAAAATACATGGCAGCAAGGATAGCATCATAGTCAAGATCAAAGATAGCCACCCCCGCCCTAAACAGATCTCCCCAGCGAGGGATCTCTGACGCCTCAGGGATCTGGCGACGCCACGCGTCCGTCAGTCGACCGAAGCAGTGCTGGGTGGAGTGCGGGCCCCTGCACTGCTCACCAGCTCGGTCGCTGGTACGGAGGACGTAAGTGTAGGGACCAGTACCCCCACCGCGCTGACGCGCAGCGTACCACTCACGAAGCTCCTAAGGGGACAGGGTTACACCACTCCGCTGCTGCTGGCGCGCACCACCACCTGAGCCACTCCTCTGCGCAGAGTCGCGACCTGCTCCATCATGGCCACCGCTGCCACCGCCGCCTCCGCCGCCTCCTCCACCTCCGCCTCCTCCGCCACCACCGCCGCCTCCTCCGCCTCCACTGCTGCCGCTGCCGCCGCCACCCCCGCCACCATTCCCACCACCACCCCCGCCCCCTCCACTGCCTCCACCACCACCTCCACCGCCCCCGCCAGCCCCTCCAGCGCCCTTGCTCCCCTTGCTCTTGCCGGTGCGGCGTCTTGCGCTAGGGGTAGACGCAGCGCCGACTGACTCGAAACCAACGAGGTCGGCCGCAGCAGCAGAGGCAACAGAGGGCAAGAGGGGGGAGGGAGAATACCCCTCAAAGACGAGGGTGCGAGGGTCACCACGAGAGGCTCCTACAGTGACTATGCTCTTCTCTGCTGCTAGGAGGCCCTTCTCGAGGAGGTCAACGGTGAGAGTGGTGGGGCAAACTGAGAGGAAGTGGTCCCTGACTACGCGAAGAGAGTCAGGGAGCCGGGTGACTATGTAGTAGAGGGTGATGTACATGGGGGGGGGGGGGGGTTCTTGGCGCAGAACTCAGCAGGAAGCGCAACGCGGTAGCGAGTGTCACTAGTGCGGAGGTGCGTAATGAGGTCAGCGACTGTGGGAAAGGCAGCAAGGTCAGGGAAGAGGTATGGTAGCATGAGGCGGCTCAGTGCAGCAGTGGCAGGGGAAGAGTAGCGTGCAACTACATCGTCGTACAAGGTCTGAGCACTCTTGTACTGGCTAAAGTGTGCACGCTCAGTGGTCTGTAAGTGGCGACGCACAGCAAGGCGAGTAGCAGCATCGTGTGTGGCCCACTGTGAGCGAACAGTGCTGTCACTAGTGGCAGGCGGGGCAGGAGAGACACCAGAGGTGAGATCAAACAGAGAGAGTCCGTCTGCCCTATTGCACTGGAGAAACAGCTGGAGGTCATCGACCCAGACCTCAAAGTCAGCAGCACGGCCCTCAGCATCAAAAGTAAGGACACTGGGGGTAGCCATGACTGCAGTGGCCTAGCAGGAAGTGAGCTCACCAGTCCGAGGAAGGAGGGCCGGGGAGCACCGGTAGGAACAGCAGCTGCTCGACAGTAGGGCGGCTCGGTGGCTCGGCGGCTCGGCGGCAGGGCGGCTTGGCTGCTGGGCGGCTCGGCTGCTGGGCGGCTCGGCGGCAGGGCGGCTCGGCTGCTGGGCGGCTCGGCTACTGGGCAGCTCGACGGCAGGGCGGCTCGGCTGCTGGGCGGCTCGGCGGCAGGGCGGCTCGGCTGCTGGGCGGCTCGGCTACTTGGCGGCTCGGTTGCTGGGCGGCTCGGCTGCTGGGCGGCTCAGGAGCCGGGCCGCCCAGTAGCCGAGGCGCCCAGCATCTGAGCCGGAAAGGGCGCCGCGAGGGGCCGAAAGGGGCCGCGCGAGGGCCGTAAGGGCGACGCGAGGAGCCTTAAGGGGCCATAAGGGCGGCGCGAGGGGCCGTAGAGGCCAGCGCGAGGGGTCGTAAGGGCGGCGCGAGGGGCCGTAAGGGCGGCCAAAGGGGTCGTGAGAGGGGCCACTAAGGGCGGCTCGAAGGTAGGGAGGGCACATAGAGCGTGACTCGGGCAGGAGTGAAGCGCGCTACGGGCAGGAAAAAAAAAAAATATCGTGGTGGGCCCTAGGTAGCGTTCCCGCTAGGGAACCTGCTTGATACCATGATGAGAAACGAGGATGAATGCATTGAGCAGAATGAGGAGTACAAGTAGTAAACCCTAAAGTGTTGTACCCCATATGAACTGCCCCACTACAGCCTACACAGACTATAGCATATATGCCTGACACATACATATAGGAAACCCTAATTGGGTTGTACTCGCTATAGAGTACCCCACTGCAGGCTAGACAATTATAATATTCTAACACACCCCCATAGCCAAAGTGGGGTGTAATCAGCACAATGAGTAAGCAGGCATAGAGCAGGAGTTCACAATAGGGAGCAAAGCTAGAGTTAATCACAACGAGCAAGTGAGGAGGAGGGGGAACTGTGGAGGGAGAGAAGATGGGAGGCAACAACTGAAGCTGCAGAGGCACGGGCACAGGAGCGGCTGACTCAGTGGCTACTGAAGCAAGGGCGACGGACTACTGGGGTAACTGGCTCCGTGGCTATAGACGAGCGGCAGGAGCAACGGACCCACTGGCGACTGGTGCAACAGGCTCACTAGCTACCGAAGCAAGGGCGACGGACTACAGGCACTGCAGGCGACACGACAGCTACCTTCACACAACCTCCTCCAGCTTCCCCACACCTCTCGACACACACCCCCTGCTCAAACCCTAGTTCTACTCCCACAGCACCCCCCTTTCACACACCCCCTGCTGCACCCTAGGTTCACTCACACCCCACCCCCTAGCACCACTCCGTCGACTCCCACCCACCCACCCCCCTCAGCGGCAATTGCAGCAGTGGGAGACAGAGGAGGCAAAGCAAGCAGCAGAAGGGGCGACGCTCGCCCCCCCCCCCCCCCCCAGGTCGCCGCGGCCCCCCAGGGAGCCGCGACGGGCGACGGGAAAAGAGGGGGGGGGGCGGTGCACGTGCCCCCGGTGCGCCGCGACAGGCGATGGAGCATGGCCGGGGCGGGGCTGGGGCAGGGCCAAAAGGGGCGGCGACGGGGCGGCGACGGGGCCGCTGGAGGCGGCGACGGGGCCGATAGGGGCGGCGACGGGGCGGCGAAGGGGCCGCGAGGGGCCTGGAAGGGCAGCGTCGGGCCGCTAGGGGCGGCGATGGGGCCGCGAAGGGGCCGCGAGGGGCCTGAAAGGTCGGCGACGGGGTCGTTTGGGGCGGCGACGGGGCCGCAAGGGGCGGCGACGGGGCCGCTGGAGGCGACGACGGGGCCGATAAGGGCGGCGACGGGGCCGCGAACGGGCCGCGAGGGGCTTGGAAGGGCGGCGACGGGCTGCTAGGGGCGGCGACGGGGCCGTGAAGGGGGCTGCGAGGGGCCTGAAAGGCCGGCGACGGGTGTCAAACTCATTTTATATAGCTTGTGTAGGCTATTGTGGGGTAGACACTATGGGGTACAGTTTCCTTGGGTTTCCTACTTGTACCCAGCTTTCTGCTAGTTCATTCCATTCCTCAATTCTCACATGGTATAGAGCAGGTTCCCTCGTGGGAACTTCCTAGGGCCCACCACTGAACATCGGTTTTTTTTTTCTGCCCTGAGATCGAGTCGCTCCTGACCAAGGCGCGCCCTGTGTGCCGCCCTCCCCTTCGCGACCGGTTGCGCCGCCCTCAGCAGCCCTCCCCCTCTCTCACGGCCCCTCGCGACCCCGTCACCGCCCTCCTAGCGGCCCGTCGCGCCGCCCTCAGCGGCCCGTCGCGCCGCCCTCAGTGGCTCCTCCTCCACGGCCCCGTCGCCGCCCTATCGCGGCCCCGTCGCCGCCCTAACGCGGCCCCGTCGCAGCCCTATCGCGGCCCCGTCGCTGCCCTATCGCGGCCCCGTCGCCGCCCTCTTGCGGCCCTGTTGCCGCCGCCGCCCTATCGCGCCCCGTCGCCACCCTCTTACGGCCCCGTCGCCGCCCTATCGCGGCCCTGTCGCCGCCCAATCGCGGCCCCGTCGCCGCCCTCTCAAGGCCCCGTCGCCGCCCTATCGCAGCCCCGTTGCCTCCCTCTCGCGGCCCCGTCGCCGCCCTATCGCGGCCCTGTCGCCGCCCTATCGCGGCCCCGTCGCCGCCCTCTCGAGGCCCCGTCGTCGGCCTATCACGAGCCCGTCGCCTCCCTCTCACGGCCGCATCACCACCCTCTAGCGGCCCCAGTCGCCGCCCTCTTGCGGCCTCGTTGCCGCCCCTCCGCGGGCCCCCGCTACCTCTCCTACGCGGCCTAGACGACGCCTCTACCGAGCCGCCCAGCAGCAGAGCCGCCGAGCTGCCCAGCAGCCAAGCCGCCGAGCCGCCCAGCAGCCGAGCCGCCTAGCCGCCGAGCCGCCCAGCAGCCGAGCCACCGAGCCGCCCAGCAGCCGGCCCGCCGAGCCGCCCGACAGCCGAGCCGCCCAGCAGCCGAGCCGCAGAGCCGCCCAAGCACCCGAGCGCCGAGCCGCCCAGCAGCCAAGCCGCTGTGCCGCTACCAGTCCTACCGACGCGCCCCGGCCCTACTTACTCGTACTGGTGAGCTCACTCCTTGCTAGACCTCTGCAGTCATGACTACCCCCAGTGTTCTTACCTTTGACACTAAGGGCCGTGCTGTTGACTTTGAGGTCTGGGTCGATGACCTCCAGCTGTTCCTCCAGTGCAATAGGGCAGACGGCCTCTCTCTATTCGACCTCACCTCTAGTGCCTCCCGTGCCCCGCCTGCTACAGCTGACAGCACTGTTCGCTAACAGTGGGGGACACGCGATGCTGCTGCCCGTCTTGCTGTGCATCGCCACTTACCGACCACTGAGCGTGCACACTTTAGCCAGTACAAGAGTGCTCAGACCTTGTACGACGATGTAGTTGCACGCTACTCTTCCCCTGCCACTGCTGCACTGAGCCGCCTCATGCTACTGTACCTCTTCCCTAACCTAGCTGCCATTCCCACAGTCGCTGACCTCATTACGCACCTCCGCACTAGTGACACTTGCTACCGCGCTGCGCTTCCTGCTCAATCTTCGCCAAGAACCCTCCCCCCATGTACATCGCACTCTACTACATAGTCCACCCGGCTCCCTGACTCTCTCCGCGTAGTCAGGGACCACTTCTTCTCAGTTTGCCCCACCACTCTCACCGTTGACCTCCTCAAGAAGGGCCTCCTAGCAGCAGAGAACAGCATAGTCACTGTAGGAGCCTCTTGTGGTGACCCTTGCAGCCCCATCTTTGAGGGGTGTTCCCCCTCCCCCCTCTTGCCCTCTGTTGCTTCTGCTGCTGCTGCCGACCTCGTTGGTTTCTACGGGGTCGGCACTGCGTCTGCCCCTAGCGAGAGATGCCGCACCGGCAAGGGCAGGGGGGGCAAGGGCGCTGGGGGGGCTAGTGGGGGCGGTGGAGGTGTGGAGGGAATGGGGGTGGTGGTGGGATTGGTGGCGGGGGTGGTGGCGGCGGCGGGTAGCGGTGGAGGCGGAGGAGGCGGCGGTGGTAGCGGAGGGAGCGGAGGCGGCGGAGGTGGCGGAGGAGGCGGAGGTGGAGGAGGCGGCGGAGGCGGCGGCGACAGCGGTGGGTGGAGCGGGTCGCGACTCTGCGCAGAGGAGTGGGTCAGGTGGTGGTCCCCGCCAGCAGCAGCAGCGTGGTGTGACACTGTCCCCTCAGCAGCTTCGTGAGTGGTACGCTGCGCGTCAGCGCGGTGTGGGTAGTGGTCCCTGCACTTACGTCCTCCGTACCGACGACCGAGCTGGTGAGCAGTGCGGGGGCCCGCATTCCACCCAGCGCTGCTTCAGTCGCCTGACGGACGCGTGGCGTCACCAGTTCCCTGAGGCGTCAGAGATCCCTCGCTGGGGAGATCTGTCTAGGGCGGGGGTTGCCATCTTTGATCTTGACTAGGATGCTATCCTTGCTGCCATGTATTCTGTGACTACTAGCATTGAGGGTGACTGTTACCTGTGTGTACCGCCAAACCCGGGCATTGAGGCCACTGATCTAGGTGCTGGTGAGGCTACTGCTCTAGGTGCTAATGCGTCTGCTACCCCAGGTGCTAGTGCGTCTGCTGCCCCAGGTGCTGGTGAGTCTGCTCTCTCAGGTACTACCTCGGCTCAGGCCTTCCACACCTTCACCCTTGACTCGGGTGCTTCCCGCTCCTTCTTTCGAGACCGCACCACTCTTACGCCGCTCAGTCCGCCGGTTGCAGCCTCCCTGGCAGACCCCTCTGGGGTTCCTGTCCTTGCTAGCTTCTCCACTGCCTTACCGTGCCCGGCAGTCCCCTCTGGCACCCTGTAAGGTCTTTACCTCCCCTCGTTCTCTACGAACTTGGTGAGTGGAGCGGACCTAAAGGATAGGTGGGTTGACCAGTTCACTCCTGCGAGTCAGCGGATGACCCATTGTACATGTGCTCGGAGAGGCCGCCATTTTGCCACGTTCATCCG